AATAAATCTGTTAGTCTTTAAGCTGCCACCGGACTCCTCGTTGTTTTTGTGGATACAGACTAACACGGCTACCCCTCTGATACCTAATGTTCAGGAAGTCAAGGTTTTACACTTAATATAAGTAGAGATAATTTATAGCTCTGTACATAGCAATTTTTAAGGTTATTTTTCGTGCAAGGTCTAGATTAAATCTCATATTTAATTGTTACACCAGTGCAAACCCAATACACCTATTCTTATGGATCTTGGAGATTTACAACAAGTGGCTATCATTTATGTACAGTGTAGGGAGTTCTGCTTGACCTTGGGAGAGTCTGTAATTGTGCGTTCTTGTTTCTCTCTCAGATATAGATGACTTAAAATGTGCTCCCTTTGGAAACTATAACAGTGGCTCCACAGTAAGCAGCCTTGCAAGCTATGACTGGTCTGACACAGAAGACATTCATCAGAGCAGGAAGCTCTCTTCCTTTGTCCTTTCTTCAGGAAGTGGAGCCTCTTCAGCTACTTCAGTTCTTCAGAAGAAGGAGACTTTGTTTGGCAGTTCAGAAAACATTACCATGACAACAGTTTCCAAAGTGACAACCTTTTCTACTGAGGATGTTCTACAGGATGTTAAATTTGCAGCCTTCGCGAACTTTAAAGATCCTGGTCCCAGGTCCAGCTGTCAAAGTGATGATGAGATTGAAGGCTTTGGAGAGTTCTCAAGACCTTTGTCAGAAGCGAAGGAGTCAGCAACAGTTGACGCAAGCCCAGAGGTTGACTTAGATACCAATGGTATCTTATCTGAAATGGCAAAAGAATGCATGGATGACTTCGGAGAATTCCAAAGCGAAAAGCCAAAAATCAGCAAATTTGACTTCTTGGTGGCAACTTCGCAAGGCAAGATGAAATCTAGTGAAGAAATGATCAAGAGTGAGCTTGCTACCTTTGACCTCTCTGTACAAGGTGAGCATGTTCAGGGTGGTTCACCGCATATATGCTCCTATCTGCATATTGTGCTACTTCCATCAATGGTTAAATGAGAGATTTCTCTTTGGAGCCAGAGCCCAAAGCCCATTGAAATCAATGTGAGTCTTTCCATTGACTCCAGAGGGATTTGGATCACGCTCTTTTACAGTTAAGTATTTTTTGTTTTATACATTGCAAGTAGTCTAAGCATTGAATGGGCTTGAAGGTTGAACTGTAGTCTCATCACCTTGCCTGGGGAAGGTTGCACTGCTGTTTTATATGCTAAGCGAACAGAGAACTTCATTCTCCTGGGCTGTCAGTGCAGCACTATGCTAATTTTAAGGGCTTTTCTATTGCTGTAAATAATTAGCTTGTAATATTTCTTATAGGGTGTCACAAAAGGAGCTTGAGTCTGGGTGACAGAGAAATAAGCCGTTCCTCTCCTTCACCAGCTTTGGAGCAACCGTTTAGAGATCGCTCAAATACTTTGAGTGAGAAGCCTGCTTTGCCTGTCATCAGAGACAAATATAAAGATCTAACTGGGGAGGTAGAGGTAAGGAATTGCCTGGAAAGCGAGTAAGGCATGGACCAATGCAATATTAAAAATATCCCAACTTCCAGCTGTTTGAGATTATAGTTAGATTTACAGTTTGGGTCATGTTCCTGAAAGGGGTGCTCAGTTCCACGCAGGTTTGGGCCCTTGGACTATAAGCTGCGGGAGAAGGAGATTTCTTGCTTGCTGTCTATAAAGCTCCATGCCACGTGTATGATGCTTTAGGAATAATAAATAATACATTGTTGTTTAAAACATTCATGCCAGCTACCCAATTTCAGTAATAGGTAGAGTCAAGGTGGTATATTGGTTATACTTCTGTGGCACATCCCTGCACTTGACTAGACGCACATGTATAACAAACAAAGCTGTTCTAAACTGTGAGGAATTGGTAAGATGCATTTAAAGGATAATTAGCCAGATGAACTGTGGTGTATTACAATATTGGGGGTAGGGGATGCTTCATATAGTTGTTTACTGTGTGAAGCCTATAAATGCATATGTTTGGAAAGGTGCCTTTATTCCTTTTGTTCCCCAATTTATTTGGACAGCTCCTCTTTTTCTGAGCAGGGTTCCAAGACAGCATAGAAATAATCTTCTGTAAAAAGAATGGCTTCATGAGGTCTGCCAGTAAATGGATATTTAGAGCACCACAGTTGGTCCACTTCTTTTTGATGACTCACATCACCTCTGTGACACATTAAGCTTCACTAGGTTGATTTGAGAGGAAAATCAATTTATGTAACTTCTCATGCAACACTGCGATTTAAGATTTAATTTCCACAGTCATAAATATCTTTAATCAAACATACAATGTCCAGCTTCCTTATTTTTAGGTAGAAACATGATGTGTTTTAGACACATCTCTTGAAATCATTTGAGTCACTGTGATCAAGTGGTCTAAGGCTGTGTCTGGAAACCAGTAATTCCTAAAATGTAATCCCAGTGTTGGCCCTGGATCCATTGGCTTTGGGAAATCACTTAGACTCTTAGTGTCTGTCCATACTGTATTTACTTACTGCACTCACCTGTGTAAAGAATTGGTTGTAAAGTGCTTTGAAAATGTAAAGCACTCTATAAAAGTTGGATCCCATTCTTCCACATCTCAGTAACAAATATGCAGCCCTGTGACCTATGCAGCTATGGTAGGCACTTGCAATTGGAGCTTTCACCAATTCTGATTTCTTCTTTCATTATTTTCAATTTGTCTTATAGCTCCTGTGGATCAAATGTTGCAGTTAAGATACAAAGAGAATATTTACTTTCTATTGGTTGTCCTGCTTGTGTGGAAAAAGATGCAAAATATTTTTTCCCAAATCCATCCTTCATAACCTTAAGTGACAGTCTGCTGTTTTGTATGAACACTGGACCAAAATGAGAAATTAATACAGGAAAATCACATTTATGGTTGGTCTGCAAATAGATTACATGCAAGGAGAGACAGAATCTTTTCTATGCCCATTCAACTGAAGTATAATAAACTATAAAGAGTTTAGGAACAGAATTCAGACTATCCTTTTCTTTTCAAATAGGAAAGCGAGAGGTATGCATATGAGTGGCAGAGATGTTTGGAAAGTGCCCTGCAAGTAAGTGTGTAACCTCTACCAAAATTACCTCCTCTTTTCCGTGCATACCACCTGATATACTATTTCAGACTCTGAGCATCTGGACAGGATATGCATGGACTTGTATGAATTGTGATTTAAAAATTGATGTGTCAATAGAAAACAAATAACTTATATAAGCACATACTTAATCTAACCAGATATGTCACCTTATCAAATAAAGCTAGTATCTTGCTCTTTGTTACTTACAGTTAATTTAGCCATTGCCTAAATTTTCAAGTGACTAGTTAATTTGGGTGCTTCAGTTTTTGGCAGCCCAACTTGAGACATAGAAGACATCTTATAGGGGCCTGATTTTCAGAGGGCAGAGGCTCAGCACTTTCAGAAAAGCAGGCCCCTTTAAGATGTCTCAAGTTGGGCACCCAAGATCACTAGTCACTTTTGGTATCTTAGGCCCTTATGTTTTCAGCTACAATAGTTCTCCTCCTTGAAGTGTTGTTTTGTTGGATTGATGGATAGTAAACGTTGCCAAACATCATTTTTAAACAAAATTCCTGAACACATGCTTGCATTTCCATCAGCAAAAAGAACAGTTAAATGAGGATGAGTTGAATTCTAAACATGGCCACTCTTCTACCCTGATCTGTATATAGTTATAAGCAAGAACAAATTAAACCCATGTGATGGGACTATACCAACTCTCCTGCTAATTGCATTAATCTCTCTTTAGTACTGCAGTTTCTCTTTTTTGAAATTTTGTTTGTAAAAGTTACTTTAAGGTAAATAAACTGATGGTGTTACCAGCATCCTTTCTGATAGGTCATTAAGAAGGCAAATGATACCCTAAATGGAATCAGTAGTTCGTCTGTTTGCACTGAAGTAATCCAGTCGGCACAAGGCATGGAATATTTATTAGGTATGTTTCATTTTATTATGTCTCTTACATTAAGTGTTCCCCCATTTAAAATAAGAGGATGTTATTAGTTGTTTCCAAATGGTGTCTTTAGGTTAATGAATTTCCAAACTGGAATGATGAGTAACTCTTTAGCCAAATGAGTACAGTAACTCCTCGCTTAACATTGTAGTTATGTTCCTGAAAAATGCTACTTTAGGCAAAATGATGTTAAGCGAATCCAATTTCCCCATAAGAATTAATGTAAATAGGGGGGGTTGGGTTCCAGGGAAATTTTTTTCAGCAGACAAAAGACTATGTATGTGTGGTGTGTGTGTGTATGTGTGTGTGTGTATATATATATACACTAATAAATTTGTTAGTCTTTAAGGTGCCACAAGACTCCTTGTTGTTTTTACTGCTAAATGATGAACTAGCACTCGGCTGAGCCCTCAAGGGTTAACACGTTGTTAATGTAGCCTCACACTCTACAAGGCAGCACAAATGGAGGGAGGGGGGAGACAGCATGGCAGACAGAGACACACACCCTGTGTGTGTGTGAGAGAGAGAGAGATGCGCATTGCCCCTTTAAGTACACTGGCACCAGTCTTAAGTACATTGCCTTTTTAAGTAGATCAGCAAGTTGAGACAGCCCCTGCTGCCAGCAAGCTCCCTCTGTCCTGAGCCCTGTCGTGTCCGTCCCCCTTCCCGCCCCGCCCCCCCGGTTCTATGGAAATGGGGTAAGCAGGGGGCATGGGGGGGGACACACCCTGCCATTAGCCCCTCTCTTCTCTCCTGCCCCCCCACGTCCCCCCCGGCACAGAAAGCAGGAGGCTCCGGGGAGTAGCACCAAGGCAGAGGGCAGGAGCAGCACATGGCAGTGGGGGGAGGGACAGCTGAACTGCTGGCAATTGATAGCCTGCTGGGCAACTGCCATACAGGGAACTTAGGGGAGTGCACAGGGAACTTAAGGGAGCAGGGAGCTGATGGGGGGCTGCCGGTCCACCCTGGTTCCAAGCCCCGACCAGTTAGCTCCAACAGGCTGCTCTTTCTGCAAGCCGTGGACAAAGCAGGCAGCTGCCAAACCGCATTATAAGGGAGCATTGTGCAACTTTAAACTAGGATGTTCTCTAATTGATCAGCAACATAACAATGTTAACCAGGACAACTTTAAGTGAGGAGTTATTGTATAACACAGTAATTTTGAAACAGATTAAGGTGGTCACAGATGTTTCTCAAAATGTGTGCAATGTCTATTAGGTGCTCTTTCTGAGTCTCAGTTTTGGGAATCTCTAGTGTGCTCTGCTTGGGAGTTAGCAACTTGCCTATAATTCACCACTCTAATTTTGACAGGGGTTGTTGAGGTCTATAGAGTAACAAAACGAGTTGAACTGGGTATCAAGGCCACCGCAGTGTGTAGTGAGAAACTCCAACAGCTGCTAAAGGACATCGATAAAGTATGGAACAACCTAATAAGCTTCATGTCACTTGCAGCTTTAACGGTAAGGCCATAATTAAGCTGCCTTTTTGTTACAGAGGATGGAGCGTTATGTATGGTTATGTATTATGACACCTTGAGGAGTCACTTAAACTCCCTGTTCCTTATTTTCTCCATTTGTAAAATGAGGGTAACCGGCAACTTTGTGAATCGGTTTGAGCTCTTCAGGTGAAAAATACTGTGTGTGCGCAAGGTGGTGGGGTTGCCTCATTTCCTAATGATTTTGACGATATATCCTCTCATAATGTGATTTAAATTAGACAAACATGAATCTAGAAAGGAAAAATAAGTGCCTTCATGACACTCCAGCAGTGAGCTTCCCTAGTTCTAGTGCTCTGCGTTGCTCTGCAGGAGACTGACTAGACTGCAAGATCTTCCAAGTAAGGACTGTGTGTCTTGCTCTGGTTTTGGAAGGTGCCTAGCCCATTTTGGCCAATGCTGCAGACTAAATAATAATGCTTGTTTTGAGCTCTTTCCCTCCTCTGGCTGGAACTGCCATGGCCAGATGCAACTCATGAGCTCTGGGGTGGAAGAGGAAGTGCTTCTCTTCTCTCTCAGCTTCCTGGGTAGCCAGTTGGGAGAGCGCTGTTGATACCATATGAAGACTGGTTCTATGTAGTTTTTAGATGGCTGGTGATTTGAGAAGAAGGGGCATCCACGCTTGCAGGGAATTTAGAGGTAATGGGGTAAAGAAAGAGCTACTTGGGGCTCAGGCTGAAGGAGAATCCTTTTGTGATGAGGGGGCAGGGAGAGAGAGGAAAATTTAAAAATAGAAGGCAAGAAAATTCTAACTTTCCATTAAGCTTTTTCCATTTTCAACCATCATCTTTGGTTGCAATTAAATAACGTTGGTGTAGAATAGAGAGATGGGTACAGGTATATAATGGATTTTTTTGGCAGGCACTTAACCACAATAATGGCGTAGCGCATTTTGGGGGAATCATTAATTTGGGGGACATTGACATGACCCACTGGAATGGTGGTTTTGAACTCAGTGCATAGTGAAGGAGCCTTTAATCCTTAGATTAAGACCAATGCATCATGTCCAGCATTAATAAATGCATCATTTCCACAATACTCTCTCGTATCACTGCATACTTAATTCACAGATCCCTGCATGCAGAGTAATCATGCATATTAAAAATCCTACTGTTGCTTTTATCGAGAAGTAGTTGCAAGGTGAGATCTGGTATGCTGGCTTTTCACTTGAAATAAAACTTTTTACAGTCCCTGAAAAATGGAGACTACAAATAATGGACATCTCCTCTCTCCCACCTCATCAGTACCACATATTGGTGGCAAACAGATCTTAATAAAACCTTGTCAGATTCTGACTGGCTTTATCTAATGCAACAATTGATAACATCAAAATATTGTTGCTCAGTTTTAGGACAGGTTGAGGTATCGGTGGACACCTAGGTACTACTGTGATGAGCATTCTCCTCTCAAGGTAGATAGTTGTCATCAAAAATGCTGTTTCGAATGTAAAAGATGTCTTAACATTCATGCAGGATTCTTTCATATTTAAATTGGGTGTATTAAGTATTTATATATTAGTAAGTACTTCAGAGTATTCGTAATTAGTGGCCAGATTGTGATTCCCTTTCTTTCACACTGTAGAACCTTATTCCACTAGTAGTCCGATTGACGTCAGTGGGACTACTCATGGAGTAAGCTACTCTTCGATGTGAGTGAGAATGTCACAGTCTGGCCTTAGTACAGTATACAACTAGTAATTGTTTGGTAGGCAAGTCTTTTTCCCCAGTTAAAGGCAACAAAGATGTATAGAACTGTGTCACTGCCTTGCTATCTGGTCATGATGTAAAAAGAAACCATCACTCCTAAACTGTTAAGAATCTTTGGCTGGTGTGGTGCATCCCTGTGCACATGCTCCTGTCGGCAGCTTTCATGTTTCTGTATTCAGTTTTGTCACAACTTTGCCCTCATGTAGCAAAATGCTATGATTGGTGAGCAGAGCGCATGTGGGGAAAACTCTTGCCTCTGGTGGGCAAGGAAAAACGTGTTTACTAGGTTTGCGAAATGGTTTCACTCAGGGAGGATCTTACTGCAAAGAGAGGCAGTTTACATCAGAAAATTCTACCACTGAAGCCAGGACCTGAAGAAAATCTGCTCTATGAGGCTTAGGCAATTGTGTGGTTTTTCTGTTGGGGTTGAGGGAGGGCTAGAATAAATTATTCACATTTTTTTCTCTCTCCTTTCTTCCATCCTTCCCTCCCTGACCCACCAACCTCACTCCCTACTGACAATTGTGAAATTTCATCCTGAGTTACAATCAAGGGTTTTTTTTGTTTTAAACATCTGACTTCAGTATACAATTCCCAACCCATATATTGGTCCTTAACCAGTCATTTACTAGCATAGCCAAATACAGTTAATTCCCCAAAACACAGCTTTCTTGCTATTTGATAAGGACTAGTTTCAAACATGCTAGTAGGGTTTTTGACTTGGGAGGATCAGAGTATTGCAGCACATCTCCACAACATCTACACTCATATTTTTTAAGTTTTAAACCAATAGCAAATGACTGGCTTTGGTTTTGTTTTAAAAAGCAGATAATGGGTCTGTTTGGTACCTAATGTATGGCACATACCTTCCTGTAAAATTACAATCATGGATTCCAAATGGAGCAGAAGTGCCAATTAAGTACGTATGAGTCCTTTAGCTCACAGGCATGTGCTTGAAAAGGTTAATTTTATCATTTAAAGGATTAATTTTGTTACAAGGTAATTTTATGCATAGGCTTATGGTTTTTCATTGCAAATTACAATATGACCTTCTCATTTGCTCACTCGTGCATTTGATAAACAAATATTAGAGTGCCTTTATTCATTTGATTGATCTACTCAAAGATTAAAGGTTTTTTTCAAGATTCCAATTATTTCTTAAATTGTTCAGCTATGGGATCGTGATTAGAATACCTAGACGCATCTGTTTTATGATCACCCAGAATTTTTAAAAGCCTCTTGCATTTGTATTTCTATGCATTGCTTTTGAGTGTTTAAACATTACACGTTACAACGATCCTTCAAACGAGCTTCAGTGTTTATACACCACCCAAATGCAAAATTGCACTGACCATTTCTCTTGTCGCCTAAATGTAAAACTGTGCCTCAGGAAAGCTATAATACATACTGAGATCTCTTTTCTGCTTAGACACACAGTTGTCCTCACACTCCTTTCTATAACATAAACTAATATACAAAATAAAACAATTAGCCCTCTTAATTGTTGCCTGGTTTGGCCAGCCATTAAGATTTAGCTGTGTACTGATATGCCCTCATTCCAGATACAGGAAAATCCTTGACTATTAACTGCCCTGCTATGGTTAGACGTTAGTGCAAAATTGTGAGTGATAAACTGATCTGGTTAACCCTAGTTGCCGATCTAGAAGCTGCACTAGCCTCAATGGTAATTTATCCCATGGCATCTTTATAACTGCAAATAATTTGTTGCCTACCTGTGTATAGCTCAGCCCTCTCTTTGGTATGCAAGAATTGTACAGCAGCAGCCACTTGTGCTCTGGTTTCAGAAGCGTGGTCCCTTTTGAAGTGGAAACATAGAACTCAAATATTCTCTCCTCTGTTATCTAATCCTTTTTCAAGTGCTTGAATGTGGTAAATTAATGTCCATGGAGATTACATAGTAAGTTTGAAAATATGCTAATGGCTTTGATTAAAGTGGGCATCAATTTATGGGCATGTGTAGTATGTTATCTTTGCCCTGTGACTTTGTTTGGCTTCATGCCCCTCCACAGCAGCCACACCAGTAATTTGTCATAATGCGTGTGAATTTTTTTCCCAGTCATTGAAATTGCCTAAACCCAACTATCTCGTTATTTCTGTAGCCAGATGAAAACTCATTGGATTTCTCTTCTTGTATGCTGCGTCCTGGAATTAAAAATGCCCAAGATCTCGCCTGTGGGGTGTGCCTCTTGAATGTGGATTCTAGAAGTAAAGTAAGTGCCAAACCCATTTTGCATTTACTACTTTAACTCTCCATCTATGCCTAGTCTATGCTAACAAACGTCCTGGCTGTAATTTACCACCGATAGTAGGAAAGGTGGAATCTGTATTGTAGGCAGGGCTCAAACGTTGTTACTACCACATCATCTGGAAGATTCTCTCTCACTCACTCGCTCACCCACACCCACACACCGCTCAACAGGCATGGGAGAGATGTAACTGGTGACAGTTGTGTATAAAGGCTGAGGTGTTAAATCCATTTATAAAGGGCAGCATGGGGAACAGACTTGGAAGCGGAGATTATTTAAAAAAAAAAAGCTTGTAATGAATTTTCCTTATAAAATGTACCTGTGCCTGTGAAGCCAGGAGGGGGTCATTGCCTTCAATGTGGGGAGGAGGGACCCCAGAACAGAGAGCGATTAATAGCCGACCAATTAATATACATCAGGAGTTTTGTTGATCTTTTGGTTTCAACATTATTTCAGAAAGAAGAGAAACCAGTGGAAGAGCATCCTAGAAAAGTACGAATGAGTAAAATGATACTCTTTATAGATTCATCCTCTTAATTATGATCATGGAAGGCAAGACTTGTGACCAGCCTTCCGTGGTCATTCTCAATTGTACCAATCATGAATCCTTTTCTTATAGTCATTTCTGTGACTGTAACATCCAATTTGATCAACTAACACATGCTCGAATCCTCCCCCTTGTGTTGTCTGCATGCCAGTATATCGTGAATAACTTCTTGTTTTTGTACTACTTTTGTGGTGTGGTAGATAATTCACTGTGGTGAGTTTCTGAACAGCTACAGCTTCCTGGTTTCTTGTTGTGGAAGGAGAACTGTCGCTTTCGTGTGAGATAATCTTGACCTTTTGTTGTCTTACAAAGTGATGCTCCAGCTATTGCTTTGGGATAACACAAAGGCTATCGTGGGTTTAGAAATCCAGAGTAAAAATGTTTTGCAGGTTCTTTTTATTTTTTTTTTTTAAACAAATATATTTTCAGCAGTATTCCAGAAGGTAACTCTGAGCTCTTCAAGAGAGCCTTGCAATAGGGAATTACAATGAAAAGCTGCTAGCTGTTCTGTTGTTGAACGGGAAAAAAAATTATCTTTTCCCCAAAAGAGCTTATGTAAAATAAGCCCTATAACTGCTTTTTGTTGTTGTTGTTTACTCAGACATCTAAGCACTATCTCCTACTAGCAACAACTACATCAAACCCCATCAGATAGTCTTCATCTTGTTTATAGATTTTTCACTCTTTATTCAAAAAGCTTTTCTTATAAAGTAGCTGCTCAGTAACAGAAGACACTGGACCAAACTGAACCTGGACCTGCAGTAAGCAGGCGCAACTTTGGGATCAGAGGAGTTGCAACCCCTTAAATCACGGAGCAATTTGGCCCAGTGAATGAAATAATTTGAAATGCTATAGTTATGGGCTGTCCAAACAAGTTATCTCTGCGGTACAGTACAGTGTACTATTTCCTACCTATAGAAGATAATTAGTGAAAGATGCATGCAGCCAGTTGGATCAACTCCCAGGTTTGAGGTCAAATGTAATACTAATCAAACCATTCAGTACATGTCCACTACTAAAACCTGGTGTAGTGACTGAAGCTTACAGCTTTAGCCGTTGCAGTTGGGGATGTGGTCTCCCTTCAGAAATTCTTGCAGACCAAAATGAAATTTTGCTTGCCATTTGGTCCATTTCTGCAATTGAGGATGGTGTCTATAGAGTGACAGGGTCGAGGTGCCTTCTTAGTGTAAACACATCCACAGATATCTGATCTCCTCTTTAGCTCTTGCATCACTGAGCAGATGGGACTGTCACACTTGTTTCAATTTTTGTTATTCTAGGCTTTTAATTCAGAAACGGATCATTTCAAACTGGCTTATGGAGGACACCAGTACCATGCAAGCTGTGCAAACTTCTGGATCAACTGTGTGGAGCCGAAACCTCCAGGCCTCATTTTGCCAGACCTGCTTTGAAAGGACTTGCACTGAAGGAGGGATCACGTCAGTCAATGACAAGACATGGTCTTGATGGTGGTGATGTAGGGGAATAAACACTGAAGGCTTTTTTGGGCAGTGGTTAGAGTAGTGAAATGTTCATTTCTGCATTTCTTCTGTACTACAATGGGTCAAAACCACTCTCTCATACGAGTTCCCCGTGAAGAATTTCACTGGAAGGTTCAAGCCATCATTGAGGTTTTCAGAAATAATCAGAGAGTTTTGCACTGTGCCATAAAACATGGCATTTCAATCTCTCTCTCAAGCTGAAATGGGTTAGCACTTTTTGAGATGTAGCAACTCACTGTGGTAATCAAGGTAAATTGACGCATGAGGTGGAATAGGTCTTATCGTTTCAAGAAAGAGATGAAATACTAGGCTGTGTGTGTGTAAACTGAAATGGCCCCTTAACCAAATGCGTGAAATGTGTATTTGCTAACTATTCTTTCCTCTAATTTTAATATATGAACCCAGAGTGGTGTTTTTTCTTAGATATTTGCTCCTACAGTATTACAATGCACAAGAAGTGACAGTAATGTTCAAGGAGAAGTAAGTTATTGATCTAGAAGGAATTGGATTGTTAGGTTGCAATGAGCCATTGTTTATTTATAGAATTATTGTTCTGAATTACAGAATATATTTTATTCATACATTTAGTGGGTTAGTATTGGGAGAAAAAACTGGGATAAAAATCATTGTATCTAAATTTTTCGTACCATATCTTTAGGCTTCAGTACAGGCAGCTGGATTTTAAAACCTGCAGTCTCTTCTACTTTGATGTAAATACTAGACAAACCTTTTTACCCCTCTATTGGACTTGTCCTACAACTGCAGACATAAAGGGCTATACTTTCAAAATGAGGTATTATGCATTTAGCCCTCTGCCCTTTATTTTGTAATCATATAACTAAGTTGCTGCACATCATGTTGAAAATCATACCACACTAATATCAAATGCCCACTCCTGTATATTTCACTACACATTTGTGGTGTATAAATATGCTTTTCTTGATGGGACTCCTATGCAGATCTCATGCAATTTAATATTGTCCATCAAGGCTCGCTCTTTCGCAGACTCCCAGAACTGATGGCACTGGTTGCCTTTGAGTTCATAGTTCAGACAGATATTAGCTTTTTCACACTGGAATTCGAGATTTCCCAGCAGACTGCACAAATGCGAAATACATGGGTGCTTTATGGCCAGCGCTGCTGTCTGGACAGTAAGTGATTAATGTATCAGGCTATCACATAATGTTACTCACAAATCTAGATGTATAGGATTCTTTCTTTAGATACAACATCAAGGTGACAGTGCAGAATACAAAAATAAAATACGTTTGCTGTGAAGACAACTTCCCAGTTCAGAAAGAATGTAACAATGCTTGAACTTCTGAATTACTAATTGCTTTACAGAATTTTTAATCCAATGGAAATGTGCTTTTGTTTCAAAATGGCCTTTCCACTATATGGCCTCTTAGTTTTGACTCTGTGAGGGAAGCAAGAGTTGCTGTTTGTTTCCTCGGTATAACTGATGATTTCATCGTTCATTGATTTAGTTTCTCAAACAGACCTTGAGAGAAGCTTCCTTCTTTCCAAGGTGTCATCAGCTGTCAAAGCAAGCCTTGTCTCTGTTCTAAGTAAATAGCTAATAGTGACCTGTGGTTTTGATTTCCTGTGAACAAAATTGCATAGGGGATAAAAATGATGGTTTGTATAAAAGGTTAGTTCTATTCACAGATTAATATACACCATATGAAAGAGATCTTGGCTAATAAGAATACTAGGTGAATGACCCTTGTTTACATAAGTTAAATTTAAAATAGATCTTCGTAGTCTCAGAAACCTGCTTATTCATCTAATAAGTAACATACTGCGCCTCCTGGTATCAGACCCAAGCTAATCAAGTGGCAGCTTTTCAATAACAGTCAGCACCCACCTTCTGCTGTGCAAAGTTTATCAAAGCAAGCTGATTTCTGATTGACTGGCCACTATTTTACTTACTAGTTGTGTTGTATAAGTGCAATAGACCTCAGAACAGCTCTTTGACACGAGAATTGTCTCCCTCGTCAAATATTTCTTGCTTCACCTTGATAATACACTTCTTGCCATGCCATGTGCTTACTATTGCAAGTAGACCCACTGACTAGTATAGGACATACAATGGTAAGTTAGCAGGATGATTATTATTATAAAATTATTAATTATTAAAATTATTATTATAGGATCGGACCCTTAGGGCCCGATTAGCGAAGGACTTAAGCAAACGCCTAACTGTAAACACATGATTTGTACCTCTGAAAGCAATGGCACTATTTGCATGCTTAAGTACTCTGCTGAATCAAGGCAATAGCTTGCATAAATGCTGTATTGGGACAAGGGAAGCTTTTTATTAGCATGGGCTTCTTCCACGGCTCTTCTTCTTTTTTCACCCCTCCTATGAGTTTTAAGAGCATGGCCCAAGCTAAAGTAGCTACAGTGTGGCAACTCTACAGCAAACTTGTATTCCAAATGCGGTACTGGTCATTGCACTGTGGCAAAAGTCGATTCTAATTACGTTCTTTTTTAATGTACCGGCTTGTTAAGCAAATACGTTATCTCTGCTAGAAGTATCCAGCATGTCTTTGGCACATAAATAGGGGGAAAGGGCATTTACGAGTATAATTACAGTAGAGCTTATTGGAGTAGTCCCCTGCTCTGTACAGAATGGGAAAGCGGCAGGCAATGTTAAAGTGATCATGTCAAGCAAAAGGCATTTTTCTAAACACCTTCAAAGGGTTCTCATGACGTGAATGTTTTACTTTAGATACCACCGATAAGGGCATTGCACAAGAAGGATCATTCCACTTACATATCCTAGTCATTAAAACGACTCAGTGTTGCATTCCGCTTCTGAGCTATTATACTGTTAGCCAAGGGCCCGGTGTCCTTGGAAACTGTATCCAAGGTTACAATATTTTCTACACTGGATTGTATCGGACCACTTTCCCTTGCTTTAATTGAGCGTAGGTTAACGCACACGACTTTTTGTCTTGGCCTATGGTGTTTTAGAACTGTAAATGAATTTCTTTTTGGATGTCTTCTGTTTCATTATCAAAATTTGTGAAAGTGAATATTTTTAATGTACATATTCTTTGGATTTGCCTTGGGATTGCCTAAGGAAAATTATTTTTATTTGTGTTTTGTGTGTGTCTTGATTTTTAACAGGTTATTTTCTTGGTTAATTTAATTTTTTTTCTATATTGTACTCCTTAGGTTCCTAACGGTGTAGTTTGTCTAATTTTCTCAGTTGAAATATACTAAAGTAATCTTTCCTTCCAGTACTTATAGGCATTAGGGACAAATCAAACTGTACCAAGATCTCTCTTGAGAAATTGGTTGTCATGTGAATTTTTAAATACCCCAGCAATCTTTCTGACCTCTTTGTTATAAAGTTTTTTTTATTTGTTACATGTTAATTATTACATTCTGCACTTGAACATTCCAGTGAATTTTCAGCCCCAGCCGCAGTTTGTTTTTATTTAAGTTGATTTTGAACTAAATTGAGTAGCTCTTTCTTGGAAAACCATGTAGTAAATGTGAAATTACGATGAAGTGCAGCCTAAGAAAAGGAAGCTTGTGAAAACCCAAGAAATACACTCTTTCCTAATTAGTTACATGTTAAATTAACGAGACCTGGAACAAAAAGGATGCCTTTTCAATAAAAGCTGCTATTGTACAACTACTTTTTCTTAAATATCTTTTGCTTTCTGGGCCTTTATTTAATTCTGATTCTCAATGTTCAAATATAAATGTAATAGTTGTGTTTCTTCCCGCATTTGGGTGAATATACATTTCTCTTTTGTGTAGATGGCTTTGTGATTAGTATAGCAGTGAATCCTCTTCTTTTAATTTGTGATGTGCTGGAGTAGTTGCTGATATTTTAAACCTGGTAAGAATAGTTTTTATTACTTTACCTTTTAATATATGATTTACTTCACGTAATCTTGCAACGGTTTATAAATACTTTGTTGCATCTCAATGAAATGTTGATCTCAATAAAGAACTCTTTATTTATGACAAATCTGTACGGTGACTTGTTGCAGGATGCAGCCAGTAGAGTGTTGCGGTGTGTTACTGATTCACATTGACACCTCACCCTTCATACTCTGAGAGAGAGCCTGGCTATGGGTTTAGGTGGGTTCTGAAGGGACTTTCCCACTCAAATACAGCAATGAGATGGAATCTTTCCTGCTATGATGGGGGATTTGAGAGCTTCCCACCAGCAAATCATACCTGGGAACTGCATTGATCTTTATTTTAAGTGTTGTGCAGATACTACGTTTTGAACAAAGTTGTCTGTAGTTCTTGTTTAAATACAGGTGAAACAAACACTTTGATAGCTGACACGTTGAGTTTGGTGGTAGCATTAATAAGTACCTGTGTCTGGCTCTGACTCGGCAAAGCACATATATAGTTAAACATGTGCTTAAGTGCTTTCCCGGGTCAGCGGATAACAATGCACCCCGTAGGCCTACGCTAGACTGGAGTGAATATTCTTTTTTGTCTAGTGGCCAAAGATGCCCTTATTTCTAAGCTATATCCACAACACCCAAAGCACAGTTACCGATAAGTCACTTGTACCCATAGGTCCTATGATAAAAATGCAGCCTGGAAGAAAAATGATTGTGCTGTCATGAAGTCTCAAAGCTGCTTAGTCTATAAGCCTTGACATTGATTTGATAGTACAAAATTAGGAACAACTCAATGAATTTTAACATGAATAAGTTTATGCTGTGCCTTTTAGCATAACAACTGGTGCAGGCCTTCTGATTATGCGGCAAAAATAGCTTGATGGGGAGAAAAAACAGAATTGTTTGAACTGCATAATGTTTAGGCTTTGACTCTTCTACGCTGAATTATTGGAAAATTAATATCAAGTCTCTGGGTAGGAACGAGACCAGCCTCATAATAAATCAGTCCTGTATTTGCACACTGTACTCCATGGTTAACAAATGTTTGAGATGCCTCACCTAGCAACCTGGAAAGTGTGATCTCTTGAAAATGGGCTGCAGTGGGTGTGGAGAGCTATTTAAATATATAGAGATGGGAACTTCCTGATAGCAATAGAGTTATCTGTATGGAAGAATTAGCTTTTCAACAAATCCACCAGAGAGATGTTTCAAGATATTTCAGATTCATCAACTGGTGGCAATACTGGAGTTAATAAATCTACAGCTCTACCTTTAACTGTGCTTGTAGTTTATAGATGGCTGTTTTGAGGATTTTTGGTCCCTGGTCTAATTACCCCTTTCTTGTGTTGGGAAGGGTTTTTGTGTTAATCTTCTGGTAGAAGCACCGGACAGGGAGTTGGAGGATTTGGGTTCTGGTCCTCGATCTGCCACAGTCATTTTGTGTGTCCTTGGCCAAATCACTTAGCATCTCTCTGGGTGAAATCCTGACTTCATTGAAGTTAATAGTAAAACTCCCACTGACTTCAGTGGGGCAAGGATTTCATGCCCTGTGCTTTAGTTAACTCATCTGCAAGGCGCCACAATTTAAGAAAGATGTGGACAAACTGGAGTGAGTCCAGAGGAGAGCAACAAAAAATTGTAAAAAGTTGATCAAACCTGTCCTATCAGGAAAGGGTAAAAAAAACTGGGTGTCTTTATGTCTTGATAAAAGAAAAGGATGGGGTGGGGAGACCTGATGAGTCGTCAAATATGTTAAGGGCTGTTTTAAAGAGGACAGTGATCAATTGTTCTCCACGTCCACTGAAGGTAGGACAAGAAGAAATTGGCTTTACCCGCAGCAAGTGGGGATTTAGGTTAGACATTAGGAAAAACTTTCTAACTGTAAGAGTGTTTAAACTCTGCAATAGGCTTCCAAAGGATGTTGTCAAATCCCTGTCATTGGAGGTTTTTAAGAACAGGTTAGACAAATACCTCTCAGGAATGGTGTAGGTGTACTTTGTCCTACCTCAGCACAGAGGGTGAACTAAATGATGTCTTGTGGTCCCTTCCAGCCCTCCTTTTCTATGATTCTAAAAAGGGGAAAGAAATTTCCCTCCCGCACTGAGGAACTGAGCCTAAATTGGTTCATTTTTGAAGCCCATGGAGATCCTTGTATTGATAGATGGCTAGCGAAATGCCAGGCTTCATAAATGTGTGTGTAGTAAGGCAATGTTCCATTTTTGTTAACACCTTTTTTCACTTGCAGTTTTGTCTAAACCCACCACAGTTAATAGAGAGAAATGTAAAGAAGGGTTTGCAGTGGAATTGGGTGTACACATGTAAGGAAAAATAACCATTTGGGACACTTTAAATATCTGTGCTCTTGAGAGCGTTAAGGTATTTTATAACCACGTCGTTTTAACAGTGGTCTCATTATGCCCGAAACCTTGGGTACATATATGTGTTGAGCCTACAGCTGATGTGGTTTCCGTGGATGCTTCTCCTTTCTATGCCTCAAAAGGTAAGCAGAGTTCTCCCTTTTTATATCTCTTTGCACCATTATCCCACCAAACGCAGTCAGAGGCCTTGGGGCCCAATTCATTGGCTGCTGACTTCAATGGGAGTCATTCCATTGACTTCATTGGACACTGAATCTGACCTAGAAGCTAATGTCGCATTTTCTTTTCCCAGTAGATGATTTTCAGCACATGGTACCTGCCTACTGTGGTGAAATTCAGATCTTCACAGTTCATTTGAAAACTTATTTCCAGTACTGAATTAATCAAAGTGTATCTCTTGGATTCAGGCCAACCCTCTGTCATGAATCCATTTAGGTTTTGTTTTCCCACTGATGCATGTGCAGCTCAGGCTACAGAGACTTGATTCTGATCCCATTTAAACAGTTTTTTCACAAGGGACAACTTCATTATTTTCAGGAGTTCTGATTTACCCTGGAAGACTAGAATCCTGTCCACTAAGTTGTAGACTCTACACTGTCTGGTGCAACAAACCATTATGACAAACACATCAATCACTTCCAATACGTTTCTTAAACCAGAATATCAGCATTTCAGAAATTCAAATACCACTCCAGAGGATAAAAATGCAGTAATGAGCCAAATTCAGTGCCTGGCTTTTCTGTAGTGAGAGGTCTATGTTAGTGTGTCTTGAAGGTCTAGATTTAGTGTACACAATTTAGTCAAGTTACTGGTAACTGATTACAAGATTTAATAAAAATGCATTTGTATTTGTGATTTGTATTAACATTACTATTGAAGCTTAACCAGTGTTGTTGCTGGAATTTCAGAGATGGTAAGAGCCCGATTATGAACAGGAACTCCTGGGTTCTAGTTTTAATCTTTATTAAGATTATTTTTTACAAGTATAGTCTCTCATTTAAATCAGTTATCTATCTCTATGTATCCAGAAATCTGCATCTTCCTCTTTTAGAGATACAAGGAAGGACACAAACAGTCTTGTTGAGTAAGTTGCTTGCTTTGTTCTTTCGATGTTCCAGCTATGTTTGTTAAATAGTGATATGCAAGGATGTGGATAATACTCATGACTCAACAGTCCATATCATCTAGTATCTTCTACCACTTTTCAGGTTAGAATCTTTTTTTTTTTCTTTTCTCTCATCAGAAGCAAAACAAAGCGAAGACTTCTCAATAAAGACACCTTTGTACTGGAGGTTTAACAGATTAACATATTTTGCTTAGAAAAATTCAGGAATGCAACATAATCCTTGAGGCCATAACACTGTGAATCGGAAAAGATCTGAGGCAGATCATGACTATACTTACAGCTAAGTTATCAAGCAGATTTACCTACTTTCTATTTACCGGTTGAATGAATACTAAAAAATACAGCTCAACCCCTTTGGGAGGGTAGCCGTGTAGTCAAAGCTTAATTTGGCTGGCCAGTGTGGGAAAGGTTAACCCATCACTTCTGTACTGGTCTTCACTTTGAAATGAGCTCTGTTGTTTGCTCCCCAATCATGCAAACACTTACTCATGTACATAAAATTATTCAGGTGTATAAATGCTTGCAGGAGCTGCTACCCTGGTGTGGAATGGGGGGGTGGAGGAGGGACGTGGCAGCATTCATTTGTCTTGTTTAAATTATTGTATTTATGACAGGCTTTGACTGGCTTAACTATTTATAAAGATTTAAAAAGCTGGCTAACGATCTCTAACACTATATACTGAGAGCCACTATGGTATTGAAAGAAAATGACAGCATTAGCAACACTTTTCCACGCTCCTCCCTCCCTGTCTCTTAATAAAACAAACACATTCAGTTGGAGTTCAGAGGCGGAGCGCGTTCATTTTGTGCTAGTGCCGCTCATCGGCTACAGGGTTTTGCACGGAAGAAAATAAGCTACTAAAGAAATATCCAGGCTACCTCATCACAAAGCGTACTTTGTTCATTAATTCTGCCAAGTGCCTTTTAGTTCTTCACTTGTAGTATACTAGTAAACTGACTGCAGGGGATGTTTTGTGGAAGAATTAAATTTAGTAAAGAGAGCTCACTGTAATGTTCAATCAAGGGAAGATAGGGCAAGGATTCCGTGTGTGTGTGTTTATATATGTGTTTTTGGAATTGTTGGCCTTGCTGGTTAGGGACGTGACACTTAGCAAGGTTCTGCTGTATGGTAAAGAACTAAAAGTTGGCCATCAAAAGAGAAGGGAATGTCTCCAGTCTGGTAGATGCAGAACAGCAAGTCTCTTGTGCTCTTATTCTTCCTGTTGATGCAGTCACATTAAATCCCCCAGTAAGGCATGAGGGGTCTCCCCTCTCTCTCATAAACGTCTGGGAGTACACCATACGGCGTCTGTACCATTTTAACCGTCGTCTTCCCAAACAGCTTCCGCTCGTAGTCTATCAGCTGCCTCCAGAAACCCACGTTGGGGCGGATGACGGGGCGTCTTGACTTGACCCAGTTGTAAGCCTCAAACAGAGACACTTTGTGGTACTTCATCAGATAAGCGATGCACAGGGTGGCCGATCTGCTCACACCAGCTGCACAATGGACTAAGGTGGCCCCGTGCTTCCGCGTGACGCTTTGTATCTTATCAGCCACGCTGTCAAAGTATAGGGAGATGGGGGCGTTGGGCACGTCAG